ATTGCAGTGATTGATGTTAAGTTTCAAAGTGCGTTTTCATCTATTTGACACTTGAAAGATACTGAAGAAGTTTTCTAATAGAAGTCAAGATATATATCACATCCTTTCCACAATATCTATTACACCCCAACTCATTTAAATCCCTGTGTAGGAAAAGTGTTACATATTTATTAAGTTAAGGGCTCAGAAAGACAGATTCTGCTTTTAAAGATTATTTACTTTTGCACAAATTTTGAATTAAAAAAGCAGCTTATGATATCTGAATATTTGAAACTGATCTTTAAAATGTGAAATGTCAAAATCTTTTAAGTCTTATACTTATTTCTGTAAAATTTCTCTCTAGTTTCTCTCTCTTATATTTCCTGTGCTGCTTTTACACTGCCTTTGTTTTAATTAATAAATTATTTGTTTTATTACCTGTCTCTTTCCCATGACATGTGAATAAATACTGTAACACTGGTCTATTCACATTTTTTTTCTACCGTTGGCTTGGGTATAAGCAACTATTATCTCTCAGCCTTTCTTTACTTCCTCTATGCTGAGATGTTTTAAAAGGCAAAGGGGGGAGAAGTTCAAAGAATAATGATCACAATTCACAAACCACCAATTTCCCAGCTTTCATCATGCATTTCATCATTTTTTTTTAATTGGATGTTTAATCATTCTGAATTTACAGAAAGCTCTCTGGCTCACAGTCTGAAACCCACTTTTAATATCTCAATATATAGGAGATCTGATAAAACAGGATTGCAGTGTTAGCATTTTTGGTAACCCAGAGAAACCCTTGAAAGTTCTTGATCAACATGTTTGAAGAGTATAAAACTATGCTCACATAAAAACAATAAAAAAAAAAAAAAAAAAGACAGGAAAGCTGCAGGGAAACTGCAACATGATGATGAGCTGGATGAGTCACAAAGCATAAAATCCTCCTGTTTATCTGAATTCACTAGAACATTTTTAAGCTGAGATCTCATCTCAGGTGATAGATTGTTTTTATTGTTGGAGTTTGAAAAAAAAAAATTAAAAAAGGAAGATAACAGAATCATAAATATGATTGATCAGAATCAAAAATTTGGGGTTACAGGTTGTAATCGAACAAAACAATGAATTTGTGGATCTTTTGGTTTTATAGATGAAAAAAGGATGTTTTCAGTAGTATTAGTCATTTTAACAGTCAACTCAGCTTTAGCAATGGAGATGTATCCTGTAAACAAAAACTGTTATGATGAGTAAGAAAAAAAGCCCATGGGAATGTTCTTGAAATGTGCGAGGTAGATTCGGTGCACTGAACAATACAATATTAAACAGGTTCAGACATTTACAAGGAAACCAGTAAGGTGAAACTTTGTGTGCTGTGATTCTGATGTGAGCTTTCAGGGGGGTCTGTATAGTTGAACAGAATAATTCTTATTTTTATTTTTATTTTTTTACATTTATTTTCAATACAATGGAACATGTGATAAAAAATGCATATTTGTTTATGAATATTACTTTTAATAAATCTAGCTTTAGGCAAATAATAAACCTGCTTTCGTTAAATCATTATATCACAATCATTAAATGCCTTAAAAAAAGCAGCCCCTGTATAATGAATCTGTGCATTTTTATTAATATACTAATTCATTGCATTGTAGTTATTCATTTTACATTATATTGCCAAGAGTATCCATATAATTGACATCAGGTGTTCTGATCACTTTGATGGCCACAGGTTTCTAAAATCAAGCATCTAGGCATGCAGACTGTTTCTAAAAACAAAAGAATGTGCCCCTCAACACAGTTTGGTGGAGTTTGGCTGATACCGTGATCGGATGCCGTTTGAGCAACAAGTCTATTCATGTAATTTAATCACTCATACATATTCCACCGTTGACTCTCTGGGGTGTTTTGCAAAGCAGAAGTGACTAGTAATGATAGGAACATAGCTACAAAGTAGGTCAGTCAAACTGTTAGAGTTGGGGCAGCACATATTGACTAGCAGAGTAGTTTGCCCAAAATGTTTATATGACCTTTAGATGAGCTCAAGAACAGTGTTTAAAAGAGCTTCATGAGATTGGGATTCGTCTACTTAATCTTTGAGATCATGTCTAACTCTCACCAATAGTTAAGTTACAAATGTGAAAAATGTAAATGTATAAAAGAAAGTGATTATAATTTTTTTGGATCAATCTGCAGCCATATCAGAATACACTTAACCCAGGGGTGTCAAACAGATTCCTGAAAGGGTCGTGTGGCTGCAGGTTTTCTTTCCAACCAAACACCAGAAACCACACAGCTCATCAAGTCATCGTGTTCAGTTTGGCTCACTTAATGAGATTTCTGGAGTCTAGTGTGCTATTGCTTGGTTGGAAAGAAAACCTGCAGCCACACGCTCTTTTCGGGAACAAGTTTGACATCCCTGACTTAGCCGTTGTACGACAATCTGACAGGTTAACTTTTACGTCAGGAAGTGAAATAGCGACCACAGAGAGCGAGGCTGTCTGAGTTTAAAGCAGTTTAGTTTTAAATTCTCTGCACCTCAGATAAAAAAATTTTGTTTATTACTTTACAAATAAAGTAGCCTAGTAGACGTCCTTACACTGTGTCAGACGTATGCATCTGACATCTTGTGCATGCGTTTTGACTGTGGGCATGCTGGTCTGATGGGCTTTGCTGATCTGACAGAACACCGGCAGTTGTAGCTTGTGGCTAAGGGACCCTGTCCTTCAGAGATGTGTTCATTCTGATGACTGCTGTTGGAGCTACATTAAAGGTACACTATGCAACCGGTGTTGATTTTCGAGCGAGGCTCCCCCCAGAGGGCGAAAGTAAAAGTGCACTGTCGTAAATATGCACAGCTGTTCTCCTGGTTTCTCCGTCAAGCCAGGCGCGGTTGTTTTGAGCTTAGCAGACAGGCAAACGCAACGAATGACTAATGCAGCGTTCACACCGCAGCTGGCGCGACAGAAGCAGCGAGTTTACATGCAAAGTCAATGGTTGGCGCGCGACAAGGTGCAGCAAAAGGTCCCGCCGCAAACGCGCTGCTGCTCGAGATGGAAAAGTAGAATTTTTGCTGCTCGACGCGCCGCATCAACCAATCAGAGAAGCTGATCTGGGAGCTGGCAGGGAGATAGACAGCGCTGATGATCAGAGCGCTATGATCACTCCTCTTAAACAGTTTATTGACGCCTAAATTAACTTAAAATGCAGAAATCTGCCGGCAGAATATGATGGCTTTTATTATCCTGCTGCCTGCAGTTTGGATTATTTAGATGAAAAACACCTACCAGCTGCCGCGGTGAACCGTGAGGAGGCGACCCGGCCAGAGGCTGCTGATGAAGGGATTCCTACTGTCGGCACACCGCTGGTATGTGGGGGTCTGAGCGGCTCCCACAGAAAAAATATTGGAAGGCAGGATGATAATCTGGATGAACTGACTGCACTGATTACGTTTTCAGGTGTATTTTCTGACTTAAAAACATATTAAAACTACTTTATTCCCACTGATCACAGCAAATATAGCTGCAAGGCAGAGAAAGGATAGTGAAGCTCCGCCCAACGCGCGTCAGACACACTTTTGCACCGCGCAGCCAGAGCAGCAAAGCTGCTTCAGCCGCGCGTCAGAACTAACTGGTACAAGCAGTAAAAATGAAGCAGCAGACGCGATTTTTCTGCTTTTGCTGCGTCCGGTGTGAACGTAGCATAACTGCACAAAGATCGCCACTGTGCTAGCAACGAGAATGCTTTTAACTGGGGGCGTGTAGCAGTTCTCGCCGTAAAGCAAGACCGACTCTCGCGAGACTTCTGAGCCTGTGGGTGCGGGCCGAGGGCTCCTGCAATTGCAAGTGCGGTATTTCCCCCACAGACCACCAGGGCGGCCGAGAATACCTTTTTTCAACCTGAAATTACTCATTTAATCATCCAAAACGTTATGGAACACATTAATTAACTGAAAAATGTTGCATAGTGTGCCTTTAAAAAAGGGTGTTAATAAGAGGCTAAAATAGGGACAAAGTTGGAGGTTCCAGGAATCGATGTTTGTTTTGGAGTGAAGAGGCACAGTTGATGACTTAGTACCTGCCAACAAAAATTAACCTGTCTCTTCCCTGCCTACTTAGCGTGTTTTTGCACAGATTGATTCATTGCAGCAGATTGATGCAGCTGACTCGCTGTCAGAGTGTGTTGGTAGACTCTACTTACAGTAAAGTTTAGCTTATAGATGGTAAAATTAAAAACACTGGGAGCAGCTTCAGGCTGAATTCTGATTGTCCACTGGGCAGCTAACTTGTTAGACTAAAAAGTCTTCTGCTCTACATAACCTTCACAAACAGCTTTCGCAGCTTCTCTGCTCCCCAGGGCCCAGGTCAAACGACGAATGGGCTTAATAGCTTAAGGGACTTTCAACTTCCTCTTCCATCATACCGAATTTCATTAGTGGTTTACGTTTGTTAGGTAGGCGTACAGCTGTGATTACCAATGAAATCAAATAATAGCTAAACATCCAACCAACCCTTCTGTGGCACCACCACTTTGATTACTGCAACATGGTGCTGCCAATGCCAAAAAATTATAAACAACACTCAGTTTTTTCTCTTATATGTTTATATTTTTATTTTTTGTAATATAATTATTGTTGATAGTAAGAGACAATCTCAAGTCAAGTTAATTGGTTGACCATTTCATCTCCACTTTAAAGCCAGACATCCTTGACTATAGAGCAGCCTCTGGAGCGACAAATCTGGGTTCTCCAACTGGCATTGCGATGGACTAGTCTCGGTTTGGCTGTTGCCAAAAAGAGAGTACTTGTATGTATGGCTGTCCCAATACAGCTTTTTAATTTCCGATACGATACCGATATTGAAGCTTTCAGAATTGACTAATACCAATAATCCATTCATCTATTAGATATTGTGTACTCTAGAATGTTACTAAAGACTTCATCAAGAAATATTACTAAAATAGAGAACAAAAATTATGAGATTAACCGACCCATGTAATATTAACCAATGAGTTACAGAAACTTTAAATAGAAGCAGAGTGTTTTATTATCAGCATGCCAATATCAGAAATTTCATTTGCCAACCAATTTAATCCGACATTAATATCTGATCCTGACACCCCTACTCGTTTGATTGGGTGCTGCCATGTGGGCTTCTGCATTCCAAGAGATTTTGCACAATATTCTCCTAACTTTGTAGGGACAGCTAGGAGATGGCTGAGCACCAGTTCACTAATACATGGATGAAGGAGTTTGGTGTGGATGAGTTTGCCTGACCTGCATAAAGTCTGGTCATTTACCTCATAGAACACCTTTAGGATAAAATAAAGATTGAAAGCAAGGCCTTCTTGTCCAATATCAGTCTATGACCTCACAAATGTGCCCCTAGAAGAAGTTCCCATAAACACAATAATAAACCTTGAGAACAACCCACTGAGTTTAAGTTAAAACAGCAAAGGATGGATCAACATCATGTCACAATCTAGATTTAATGGAGGTTTAATGGATTAAGAAGGGGATGTTGTTAAAGTTCAAATGCAAGTCAAGGCAAGTGAGCGAATACTTTACAGCGCATATATATAGTAATGATTATCCTCCTGCGTAAATTTAATAAAATTATTTGTAAAATATGCATCGTCAAACTTTATAAATTTAGTCATTAACTGCATTAAAAATGTGCTAAATGCGCCTGATTTCATGAGTATGTTGTGCATTAATTCGCTGTTGATTCCGCTCTTGGACACTGTCAGAGTGTTAAAGAGAAATCCCTGAGGTTTGAGCCTCGGTTTCTCGAGGTAAGCAGTGAGAATGTAGAGTACTGATTGGATAACTCGCCTAAATATGTTGGGTCGTATAGCTAGCTACTTGATGCTGATTGGCAAACATACTATTTTGTATTTACGTTTTTGAGCAGGCGAGGTGTTCCTAAGGAGTAGAGCGGTTGAAGTAATCATTCAGTCAGAACAGTCCTCTTGTGCTGAACTCTTGGCACGGCTTCTGGAGTTTTATATATATATATATATATATATATATATATATATATATATATATATGCAAACATTTGAGGCAAGTGGGAAAAAAGCTGTAGACCAACATTGCTTTCAGAAATATAAAGAACTAGAAAGAGTAACTAAAGCATGTCAATAGCTTTTTCCTTCAAACTAGCATCAATCTATAGGTGCACTCGCACAATGTCAAGGATTTTATAGGTTTATAGTCTGGTGTATTATCCACCAGGTATACCAACATGTGTAATGATTATCCCAGAGAGGTTGAATCACTGTCAAGAATCAACACAGAAAAAGACCTGTAGGAAGCTTAAAACTGGGTAAAGAACAAACAATCTGCTACCAAGGTTATGTTGTGAAAGATAGCTTCATGCCATGGCAAGAGGGGGCATAGTAACAAGACCCAAGGTATACTGCACCGATGAGGTCTCTCTCGCAAAGATTTCAAAACAGACTTGGTTTTTTAAAGATGTGCTGTTCAAACAATGAAGAAAGATAAAGAAACATGCAAGGTTGGGGATTGTGGATGCAGTGGTTGGCCAAGGAAACAGTGTGGCAGATAAAAGACGCATCAAACTTATTTCCTTTCATAATTGGTAAGATGTCTATCACTGCCATCAGCACATAACTAGCAGAAATATCTACTATCTGAAGAAGCCTGAAGTGGTATTCATGAAAGAGCTGCAGCCAACAAAAGCAATACCTCTGACATGGATATATTGCCTATTGACTTAAATATAAGCAAAAAGAAAAGGAACTGGGGGTTCCTAAGGCAGCAGGTGACTACCAACAATGAAAATATATGGCTGTAGCAGAAGGCAGTTTGTTCATCATATGGCTAAAGTACAGTACAATAATGAGCATCCACAGGTAACAGTGAAGTATGGTGTACGTTACTTTAACATTTGAGACTTCATTCCATAAATCAATTCAAATAGGAGATTTGGTCAGGATTACCATTGTTCTCAGTACTGATAAAATACAGGCAGATATTTATCCATCATACAAGACTATCAGAGACACATAATTGGCCCCAAATATATTTTTTAGTTCTTTTGAAAACTGTGTGAAAGTATACCTACAAAAATTTATGTGGTTTTAAAGTAAGAGGAAGACACACCAATGTCGATTTGATTTAGATCTCTTTGTTCATTCAATTAATGTTTTAGATCTTTTAAATCAAAATGAGTACACTTTAGTTTTTGAAAGCTTTTGTTGTTTACAGTACCTTTTCACACACCCCTAAAACGTATGCAAGTATTGTGTATTGTTCTATAAGAGAGAAATAGTTAAAGTGGTATGTTCCCCTTTGACTTGAAGCAGAATCATTTTTTTTTCATAAAAGATTAAACAACTGAAGTGAGCTGACAAATCCCTTTAACCCCCCCTAGGACTATATGGTTGAACAACCCTCTGCCAGCCTTCTTCACTGAACTGCTGAAACAGCCAGGAGAGAAAATGCTTGCTGTTAACATGTCCTATTTTTGGCTCAGCTGTTGTTGCTGGTTTGAACCTCCTTTTTTTTTGATAAATCAATCTACATAAATTCAGGCATTGCTGAATAGGAACTCACAATTTTCTTGATTAATTATGTAAAACTCAGTCTCATTATAAAAATATCATATGGAGACATTACAAAATGAAAAACACTACATAAAAAAATCTTGAAATAGGAAACCGGTTAAGAACAATATTGATGGAAAACAGTGCCTGTGGGGGGTCAGCACAGGAGCCGAGTGATTGTTAGAATGGTTGCAATGCTTGAAAACACTGGCTTTGAGCCCACTGCTCCGTCCTTTGAATAACAATGATCCTTGTTCTGGCCAATACAAGCCGCATATGCCATCACATGGGGAATGTAGTTTTGCTCATGGACTCCATGCAGCAGATGAGCTAGGGGACCTTTAGCAAAGACAGCCACGTCCTCCCCTCCATGAGTCTCGTAGTTCAGAGGTACAGCTGACTGGGCTCTGTAGTTGTTATCCTCTGCAAGAGATAGACACACAGTGAAAAGGTGGAACCCTAAAGTTATGTTTGGTTCAGGATCTGCTAAACAGGCCTGCTGATGTTTGGTTCTATCTCTAAAGTGTATAAGGCACTGCTAAAATATTTGTTTAGTTTAGTGAAACAGTGTACCCATGATAAGGCTGTTCAACATTTTTTAACAAATTTTAGGTAACATTATTACAGTATATTGGCTGAAAAAAGAAGTTAATCTGGTACAAGGACATCCATCTAAAGAAGATAAGTGATGCTGCCGCTATATTCCACCCTGGGTACGCTGAGGCCCGTACCACGAAGCGAACTCAACATAGCAGGATTATTTCCAGTTTATCCAGTTAAATCAATGCACAAGAATGTCAATCAGGAAGCTGGTTATGAACTCGCTAACTCAATGTAGCTTGAATTGATCATTAAACTGTGAACGTCCACGTATTAATAGGCGGATTCAAGATAGCAGACCAATCACAATCATGAGCAAAGAAGGGAGAGTGCCAAATTTCTCTTGTAAGGAGCAAAAACTCATCTTACAGAAATACGAAGAGGAAAAAAAAGTCTCGATGAAAAGTCCAAACTGTGGCAGCATTAAAGTTACGCCAAACGCTTGTGGGCTAAATCAGGAAATAAAACAACATCATTGGTTTTAAGGAGGGAGGAGAGAGAAGACAGTTTATTGACCAGGTTAGCTCTAGGTAGAATCTTACTATGGTTAAAGAAACAGAGGTTGACTAAACTCTCTTTGGGAAACGGAAAACTACAAGTTTCCCTAATTTCAGGTTTTAAAAACTTTTAAGTAGCTTTTGATTAAACCTGCTTTGCAAAACGGGCCCATGCAAAAGTCCTCAAATGCAGCCCTAAATGTACAGAAGTACCTTAATTTCTCTGGCATATAAACGCTATTTCAGCCTGTAAAAACCTGTATTGTTCATATTGTCATAGAGATCCAAAGCATCTACTCACAATTTGTGCTCGGATTTTTTTTTTACAGGTTTTTTTTATTGTTATTTAGCTTAATATTACAGTTGTGCAAGAAACAAATGAATGCCAGTGGTGTATTAGGACTTTATACAGGGGATAACAGATACAATAAAAGTACACGGTTGGTAAGTCAAAAAGGAGGAAAAATCTAAATAAATGAATACATTAAAAACGGTTCAATTTATCAATAATATATGTTGTTTTAACAGCTATTTGGTTTTTAAGTTTGTTTGTTTTTTGCGATATTGCTTTCTCTAATGTCTTTTTCAATCTGAATTAAATTGGGTCGTCAATGAAAGGGCACTTCATTGTTTCCCTAACAGCTGATTGGCTGATGGGTTTGCCTTTCAGAGTACATTACCATGGTGACTAGCCTCGCTTAGAATGAATCCAGCTTCATGGTATCGGAAAGAAAGGGTTAAGCCTAACCCAGTAATCTCGTGTCATTGTACTGGCCACTGTTCTCTCAGTGCTATGCAGTCTATTTTTACTTATTTATTTATTTATTTTTTTGGTCCTGGTAATTGGCATTATGGCGCAAAAGTTAACTTATGTTTTTCTTCACATCATATGTGTGGAAACATGTTTGGAAATTTCCATCCAAACACCGATGTTAACCTTCAATACTCTTCTCTTTTAACACATTCCAGACATATGGAGAATACAGTAGTTAAAATTCTTGCAGCTTGTTAAGTTTAACTGTCAGGCCTCTGTAATGCTCCTCTGAACAGTCTCTGTTTCATGTTTCTTTAATTATCAGCAGCTGTTACAATAATGCCTTGGTGTTAAAAAACAAAAAAAACAAAAAAAAACGTTTTGGGAATATTCGACATATACTAAATTTGAGACCTTTTAGATCCTTTGTAACCACTTTTTATAGGGCTAAAGAAAGATTAGATATAAAACAACTGAAATGGGGTGATTTTAACTAACTAAATAAGATAATCTAAAGCTAAATCTAAAGTATTGTTCAGTATCAAACATTATGCATATTTTTCATGATTTATGAAACTTTTCAAGCAGTAAATATTTAATGGTCTAATTTGTCACAAAACATGGGATATTAGGAGGGAGTGAAAGCTTTTGAGAAGTACAGTTAGCAGGCTCAGTAGTTTTCTCTGTACTTTCAACAGTAAAGTTGTTTTTCACTGATTAACTGATTCTAGCTGATTTTCTCAGCACACCTGCTGTAAACATCAGTGAACAGCTGCACTAAATATCAACTGCTTTTTTGCCGGAAAGAAATTGTGATTGTAGCCCTGATAGGCAGTATTTAGATATCTGCAATCTGCCCCATGCAACAGGCCAGACAAGAAAAGGCTTGTTCACAAAGCACCAATTTCAGTCCCAACTGTTTCTCAGGATACAAAAAAAAAACTGAAAGTAAACAGCATTGAGTTGGCATCAAAGTGTTCCATCAAAGCAGAATATGTGAAAGTGCAAATAACAACTGTTTCACAAAATTCAGTAGTCCGATTATTGATTGCTGGCTGCTGTAAAAAAAAAAAAAAAAAAAAAGCTTTCATTTCTGTTTTACTGGAACCAACAGTTTTTGCACATTTCAATAAAGCTATGAGAAATGCTTCTATTGCGAGGATCCATTATTAATATACATTTTTGCTATTTTTCTTCTTTTAGCCATGGATTTCAAACACCTGAATTGCTTTGGAGGTTTTTGTAAGATAAAAAACATCTTTATAAAAGAAGCCAGCTGGACTGGGAGCACAGACATATTCAGATTAGTTTATGACATATTCAGTGCCTTGCACAATCATTGGCACCCTAACAGCAAGCTAAATAAGAAATTAGCTTTACTTTATGACACAATCTGTCTGAATACATCCAGAATTTGAGCTCAAAGCAAAAGTCTAATTACCGTATTTAATTGTGGAAACATTCTCTCGTTGCCCATTGACAAGTTTGTAGCCAGGTCCATTTCCATACAAAATGGAGGTGAAAGGCTTCTGATCAATATCACTTAACATAGGGGCCAGGCCTGTGGAGATAATAATAAGGATAAGACAGAGCTTAAAAACAACTACAAAGAAAAAGACTTCCTCACAGCTACAGCTTGTTTGTTACTTCTATTGTTACATACCAAATATTGTGCTTCCTCTATGGGTGTAGCCTCCGAAGTTGAACACATGTGAATGGTCTGCGGTAACAACGGTCAGCGTGTCAAGTGTACTGGTCAGCAGATCTGCCCGGCCAATGGCTCGATCCATTTCCACAGCTTCATGCAAAGCCTGCTTGGCCTTACCCTCATGGTGACCATGGTCAATGCGTCCTCCTGTCGAATTAATTTCATTATACAAAGCAAGTACCATAGGTAAAATGGATTCCACATTTTTTATTTCAACACAGAAAATTAATCTTTTCAAATGAAATTACTTTCTTTTTTAGGAGGTTTTCTGCTTATTATGGTTGGTTTTATGATGGAAATTCAGTAATAATTTAAAAATGTTGCAGTCAGAACAATATATATATATATATATATATATATATATATATATATATATATATATATATATATATATATACGTGCTAACGTCTCTGTTAAACACTTTAAAAAACTCTGAAAATGGAATACGAAAGGTGGATTCTTGATTCTTGACGTCGGAGTACACAGAGTGAAGCGAAAAGACTACAACTGTGTAAACAGGCCCCATTTCCGTTTCCGGTGGCAGGGGAATATTGACTATTCCAACAGAACTCAATGGGATTTACAAAATGCTAAATAAAACACTACAGGAACGTTTTTTCTTTACGAAACTTTTTTTGGAACGTCATTGAACAGCGCTGTCGACCCGGTGAGTAGCATATTTTAAAAAAAGAACGTTTAGAGTTGTTTTAAGGACATTATTGGACATGCACTATGGAAACCATTCTGAAGCAGCCAGGGGTGGATTCTAAATGAGCCAAAAAGCAGAGACAGGACCAATTGTCAAAATTTTGGTGTCGATCATTCGATTTCATCCTGGACACTACAGAAAATGGGCTAAAAGTGTTAAAAACCGGAATTCTCCTTTAAGCAAATTTTTAAAGACTTTGTCATACAGACACAGTTTTTCAGGGTTACTCCCCATAATGTGCTACACAAAGCTAAATTAAAACAAGTGTTTTCCATTAATACGGATCCTAAGGAGGTCTTTTCCAGCCAGAATTTGAATAAGAGTGAGATATGATAAGCTAGGTGTGATGGTCATGCAGTGCTTTAAAGATTTTCTAAAACCTCTTTCCCACTGAAATTAGACGGCTAAAACAGGTTTTTCAAACATGGGTCGACCTGCTAATAATCAGCATTTGGCTCCCTTTCCATTGGACAAAAAAACTGGGTCTGACCCCCCTGCTAGCAAGCTGTGTTGCCTCTAATTTCCTGGTTTAACCTGTTTTTTCAGCCAGTGGGAAAGGGTATAAGTAAAAAGAGTGTAGGGAGGCTGTTGTAAAGGGAAAAGCTAAAACAAATTAAAAGAGATTCAAGTAAATGGTTAAAAAGGATGAACTGAAGAGAATCTGGTTGCAGCAATCTTAAAACCCCTCTGCTAGTCTATAAATAATTGAATGGATCAGCAGGTCAATACATAACAGATTTGTTGTCAGTGTATCAACCTCCCAGACCACTCAGGTCTTCTAGTTCCAGCCTAATCTATACACCCAGAACTAGAACCAAACATGGAGCAGCATTTAGTTCCTATTCTCCACTGATCCGGAAAAAATCCCAGAAGACTGCAAAAGTGCTGAAAGCCTGAGTTCATTTAAGTCAAAGTTAGAAGCCAATTTGTTTAGAGCTGCCTTTGACTGTTGAAGTTAAACTGTTAACTGAGGTAATATTAGCTTAAGGTTTTTTTTATCTTTATTTGCTTTTAATCTGCTTTTATTTTTCTTCTATTTTATTATGAAATTCATATAAAGCACTTTGAATTGTCCTTGTACTGAATTGTGCTATACAAATAAACTTACCTTAATTATCTTAAGGAGCCAGTATAAAGAAAACATGAAATACTTTATTTCCATTTTCTAACCAAGACTTGGGCAAAATGCCTTCATTTAAGACATCATTTCTGTCTTAATCTTTTTGTTCCTCTGATTGTCCCCAAGACTGCAATGTCCGTGAAGCTGTAATAAAACTTTTCATTAAGTTACCAGTCAGCTACAGGTCAGCTACATTTATTCAAATTGAGCATTTTATTCACATCATTTACAGCAGTTAGATTTTAATTAGTTTCTTTTTTATAATCAAAACTGGTCATTTCGAGATAGACTTTTCCTTTAAGCCAGCAAGATCACTCTTGGTTTGTTTTTGGAACAAACCAAGAATCTAGGCAATATGTTTTGAGTATTGCTTCCCAGAATGATCCTGGCTGCACTGATCCTGTATGCTGGCTAAAGCTGAGTTAGAATATAAAACAATCCCAAAAGATTAGGAAGCATCTACTTGAGGGGGCAGACATGTTGATCAAACTTGAATAATTTTAGTTACAATATTGTAACAATAATTTGATTAACTATAGCCTTTTGTTTTGTTCTGCATCAAATTTTTATAGCTCTAGTATCTTGTTTTGCATTCCTATACTTTTAATGAACTCATCTGGCAATACAGCTTTTAAAAGTTTGAAAGTTAGAATTCTAAGTGAAGAACACTTTTTACCCAGAAATTAGTGTTTATGTGTTCCATAATGCAATCGATCAGTTAAGTCATGTTAATATGCTTTATTCAATCAATTTAGGTGCTGTTAAACATCGCAAACAGGAGTCGGGATGAAGTTTGGGTGTATCCAAGCTTGCAGCTGTGGTTGGATGCTATTGTTCCAGATATGACCATCGAGATTATGTCTGAGAATCTTTTGTTGGAGTATTTTAACTCTGTATGACATTTCTAAAACAAAGACATTTTCACCAGTGTACCAGAAAAAACTAATTTTGTTGGTAAAGAACCTGCGGAGAGCCAACATCTGCCTTTAATTTCCTTTTTCTTTGATATATTACACCCTATGCATTTCTAAACCATAAACAGCAGTTGTAGAAGCATTGTTCTTGTTCAAAAATATGTTTGAACCACAGAAACAACAAAGGGAAACATTTACAGCACATTTTTTGCAGATTTACAAACATGTTTGAGAACATAAACAGGAGGAGGATGCATCATCCTCTCATGTCCCTCCTCAACTTTTAGGTCTGCTTCTCTGAAGTAGACTAATGTAACACTGGATATAATCATTCTTCAGTTTAACTAAAAGACTAAAAGGACTTTTAGTGTCGTATGGCACTGTGTTAGGATGATGTGTCTTTAATAATTTGCACTGTGCACAACTGCACTTCTTGCCGTTTCTACATCTGAACTTAGGAAGGTGCCCTCCGCATTTCGAAACCCTCTATTCTCACAGAGTGACGCTTTGATGGTTCACTGTCCTGAGAAAAAGGTCCTCTGTGGTGTTTTCCATTAAAAAGCATAAATCTAATCAAATTGACTTCATCAGAAGTTAAGTTAAAAAAAATTTGCTACTACCACGGTACGTCCTAAAAGAGCTTACGACATAAGGAATGTAACACAAAGCCAATATAATTTGCTCAAACACATAGATGAGTAGGCATAGCGACGTTTTTCCTGAAATTGCTTTGAAAACGTACATCTGTTCATAAAAATAAAAAAAGTTCTCTATAAACATTAAAATGACCACCATTCCAGTCTGGGCCATCAGTGTACCAATAACAGATGGTGATACAAGAACAACAACTAGGAATGTGGGAAAAAAATAAATTTGGAGATATATCGTCATTTTCTTCTGCCCGATATAACATTGATCTTTCTGTTCCAAATATTGATTTAAAAAACATTTTTACCCAAAACAATGAGAAATTGTTGAAATATTGCAATATATAGTGATATTGTATATTGATATTGTTATGCCATATGCTATGATCATGGTTTTTGGACATTGGGAACCAGTGCCCATATTTAATCTTAACATGATGACCAGAGAAGAGAATGCAATTTCAGCTCATAAGCAGCCGTAAGACCTCTGTAACCCCCCCCCCCCCCCCCCCCCCCCCCCCCCCCCCACAGCCAACTGCCTCCACTGGAACTCTCACAGAGGTTTGACTTGCCACCCCCCTCTGTGTTGAGGACAGTAAAGGGCTGGTTATACTCCCCGCAGCAGTGTTGCGCAGTGAGCTTGATGCAGACATTTTTGATTTATCCTCAATTTTGAAGCGTGGTCTGCGCTTTTTATTCAGCTTTTTATTCAGCTCAACGATTTGCATTGTAAATTGGTCTGAAAATATTCCAATCTCTCTAAATTAGTGAAAAACTAATTTGATCATATCCCAAATTCTTCCAGATAAACTTTGGTTTTCAAACATAAAATCCATCTTAGACTATAATGTGGTTTTCAACCATGTTTCCCCTTCCTCTTTGTACAGTTTAGTTTAGTTGAGTTTCACTAGTTTTAGATTAGAGATTTAAACTGAAATATGTTTGACTTGGAGCTGAATGTTTTTGGTAATAAACTCATATTTTGAACAGTTTTGGTGAATATACTCCATTTATGTGCAGAATTAATAGTTTGAACATGATTTGAGCTCGAATCACTCTTTCATTTACTGTTCTAGCACACAGCTAGTAGGGCATGTGCTCATACACAATACATACAATGTACTATTACAGATAACCTTCCCCAATTCTCTTCAGCTTCTTCGGCCTGTTGTTGATTTGATTCTTCGACCAATAAAATTCAGTTTTTTCATCTGCTCTGCAGAAACAAAGTTTCTTTTGTTTCCTTGTTTTTCTCTTCTTCCCGTGCTGACTAGCCAAAAGGAACACCACTAATGACTCATCGGTTCGCTATGAAAAACTGTTATTCTGGGAAGCTGGACGTGAACTGGAGTTCTTGCTCTGGAAGCTCTTTTATTTGGTCAAAATAGCCCCAAGTTGTTCCGAAAAACCTGTTTGGGAGCCTGAATGGCCTCTGAACCCCATTGGAAGAAAAGATGCATTGTCATAAGGCTTTAGGACCCGAGCTCAAGATGAAGAGTCACCCATCTCTCCCAAGAGTACGATGGTTGGACGGTTGGATGAGAGAGTTTTTTTTTTTTGTTGGTGTCTTTTTCATGCATTTTATGGTTGATGATGAGTAAACTACAGTCTTGTATTTAATATGCTGTCTGAGTGGTGACATTTTTCAACAAATGCTATATCTTTGGAGTTGACTGTTTCTTTTTTGTTTTTCTTACCAACTTTAGGGTTAAAATAGGTGTTTAGAACTCTTTATGATTAAAACACATTTGCATTTATGGTAAGATCTAAGTTAGATCTAAGCCTTCCAGACATAAAGATTAGTTCAGTACTTAGTCCCCTATCGGCAAAGTATCAGAACTAACCCGTAATGCTAGTGCATATCACGAGACAGAAGATTACCTTCCACAAGGAGGTAAAATCCATTGGGGTTCTTCTTTAGGATCTTGATGGCTACATCCACCATTTCTGTTAGTGAAGGATCAGTGTCACTGTTCCTCTCCAAATCGTAAGACATATCATTAGGTTCAAAAATACCTAAAGAAAAGGGTCACAACGGTGCAAAGAAAGATCCTGTTACACAAAGATAATAGGCATACAGCCTCCTCATTCTCACTTTAAGAGTCTTATAATGAAAATTAGACTTACCCAGCAAGTAATCCACATTTCTAGGGTCCAGAGATAGGAGCTGATTCTTGTTCCATACATAATGGGCCTTCTGTGGAACAGTTATCGATTTAAAAATAGTACTTTAACATTGAATTTATTTTAGAACTTCAAACAATGTGCTGTAACTGCACGGATTAGAAGGAAGCAAAAAATAAATAAATAAAAAAACAAGAGGAAAAGAGATGAATAAAAGAAAAGTTTACCATATCCTTCATTCTTGCTTTCCATTCTTCCACCAAGTTTCTTCCATCGTTTCGTGTGCCGCTATGCTTTGCTTGATTCGGGTATTCTACATCTGACATGTTCTTGGGATGCATATATTTCCTCCCTCCACCCATAAGCACCTGAAAGGTGGAAAGCTAGAATTAGATTTATGTCCTAAAGTACATCAAGGAATTGTGAAAGACAAAAAATGCACAAAATAAATGAAGGTCAGTATGTAAAAGGTAAATAGTCATTGAAGGCGTTCCAATATAAGATTTAGGGCAGGGGTCACCAACTTTTTTAAGGCTCAGTGATACTTCAGGGCAACTGAGTCATAGGAGGGGACCAATACTGACCTATGAACTGGAGGGATCAGCTTTTACCTAAACTTCATAAATAATAAGCATATTTTTATTGGTTTTTTTTTATCTCCTAGTTTTCTTCATAATATTGTCATTTTTAAATCTCTACAAATGCTTAAAAACTCTGTATGATTAAAATGAAGAAATGCTCTAAAAATGATTTAAAAAAAGAAGTGCAACAGAATAACAATGTCATTCTTAGCCCACTGATGAGTTGTGCTGTTTTCTAAGATGCTGTAGCCACCCCATGAGGCCCCTGAGGGCCTGTTGGTGCCCGTTGGCGCCACGTTGGTGACCCCTGATTTAGTGTAATCCCTCATCAGGCATTTTATTTTGCTACAAAGTCTACAATAATAAGTAAACTTGAAAGGGTAACTCAGAAGTGAATTATGACATAACGTAATTAACCATTCATCCAATCATACGGTGTCATAATTTATTCACATCCTCTAAACTTCAACTTCTGTTATATTACCAATAATGACTTTACTATAAAAACAAGTTAAATGATTATTTATCTAGAATTAAAAACGTGTTGTACTGCAATGAGAAAATGGGGATAAATAAACGTGGCTGGAACTTTGACTCACATCGATGTTGGGAATGTTTTCAAAAAGTTGTCTGGCAATATCCTTGCAGCCGGACTGCAGGGCTTCAGGTGGCATCTCATTGTCAGAGTACCAATCTCTGTCTACACAGTGGGCGTAGGCAGCACTTGGAGTTGCGTGGGTAAGACGTGTTGTTGTCACAATTCCCACGGACTTTCCTGTAATGTGGACACAGAAGCAGCTCTATAAATCAGGGGTCAGTTGTTGAATAACCAACAGAATGACATGTCACAGTAAAGCTTTAACCAGACCAGTAATCTGTCCAGCATGTGCAATCAGAAGCAATGCACACAAAAATAGTGGAAGATCGAGTTTATTATTTTTTTTTCTTTTTATTAAAAGCAACAACAAAATCTCCCAATCAATCCATCATTTTAGATAGTTTTTGCATTGTTTCCTGAGTACTGATCAGATTTATAAATACATATTTGTTTCTTTTCTCGATACTTGCTTTTCTTAAGCTTTATTCCTATAGAGTTAGGAACTCTGAAGGTTACTTGCTGATCTAACAGTAGCTTAGACAGCAAATCTGATAAGAGTGTGGACACAGAGAGACGCTTCAGCTGACTTTGATGATGAGTTGCACAGAAGTGGTAATAACATTACTAATCAATCAGGAAGTGTGGTGTTTGTGTCCGGAACACAGACGCAGTGCAAAATAGTACTACAACAAATACTAGAACTACAAAAATAAAACTGTGCACAAATAAACCTTTTCAGACAATAACTGTAGTGTTTTGTAAAATCAGTTGTTCAAAAAGCAGACAGAGAAAAAACAAAATCAAGTTTATTCCTCTTGTTTCAAACAGAAAAGATGGAATATCCCCCACCGATGTAAGGTCTGTCCAGAAGTGACTCTTGCCATTAACTTTATGTAACCCCTTTGTTGAATTGGGAATTACTTTTAATGAATAAACTTTGTTTAGGTCTAAAGCTCACTCACTGAATAAGGAATAATTGAAAAAGAATGACTAGAGGGATTTTCTACAAAGAGTTTTCAGAAACAATTAGGTTAGTTAAGTGAGTATTTGTTTAAAAAAGAGAAATCCAGACATTAACATAATATATACAGCAATGGTTTGTTCCCACACCTTAGGTCCTGAAATTTTAACTCAATTTAAACAGGTTGAAAAACAGCCAGTGTCATTGCAACTTTTGCATCTCCTTACTTGCATCCTTCGCCCATTTGAGGATGGAGGTGACCTCGTTGCCCTCTGTGGTGTTACATTGGGAGCGGACCGCAGCTGCACACACACCAACCGTGCCCTCGTTTGCTTTGACCCCACAGAGGAAAGCGGTGGCTGTGCCTGCGCTGTCCGGGACCTGCGCATTAGTGTTGTATGTCTGCAAAGACACACGTCAAAATGGTCGTATTGTTATTTTTAGTTATCATTACAGTTTTTTCTGAATGCTTAAGCGCTAATCGTGATTCTTGTAGCACAATTTCTAAAACTATTAATACGTATAGCAAAACCACTCACTGAGTTTGCAAAACTAAAAGCACAAACACTGCATTGCACTCAGTTTGCAATTTTGTACCACACATTTTGCAAAACTGTAGGCACAATTCACTGCACAACACTCTATTACCAAATTTCCAACACACTCCTAGTAAAATCATACACATGTATGGCTATCATTAACACTATTTTGCCAACTGTCTGGCACACTTTCACATGTGAAAACTGTTTTAGATAATTAGTTCACTTTGCAATCAGCCTAAGCACTATAAATAATAATAATTGATAATGACACCATCTTTCAAAAAAGGGCAATAAGCATTTCTTCATGAAGTCGTGTACTTGCACGCCACAGAATAAGAATGAAACAAATTTACAGAGTTCCTTTCGAGAGAAACACAGAACATGTAAAGCAACTGTGATATGACTATGTGCAGGTAAGCTATAGTGTCAATGGTTCTGAATTTGGAAGTGCATACTGTAGTGCTGTGCATGGGCCTGATGTGATGCATTTGTTTTGTCTTGTCCAGAGAGTGATGGAACTAGAAGCAGATGCCATGGGACATGAGCTACTTTTTGTAGATGAAGCTGGTTTTAACCTCAGTAAAACCAGGAGACGTGACAGGAACATTATTGGACATAACCAATACATAACATAACCATGTGTGCAGCTATAAGCCAAAATGGTGTTGTTCACCATCATGCAACCATAGGCCCATAC